TTGAAATTTGTTGCAATTTACAAGTTGAAGTTAAGCTGAGATGGTTCCTTATCTTCACTTGTTGAAACTTGTAGCAATTTACAAGTTGAAATTAAGCCGAGATTACTACTTCTCTTCGCTTGTTGAAATTTGTAGCAATTTACAAGTTGGAATTAAGCTGATTCCTTGTCTTCACTTGTTGAAATTTGTAGCAATTTACAAGTTGGAATTAAGCTGATTCCTTGTCTTCACTTGTTGAAATTTGTAGCAATTTACAAGTTGGAATTAAGCTGATTCCTTGTCTTCACTTGTTGAAATTTGTAGCAATTTACAAGTTGGAATTAAGCTGATTCCTTGTCTTCACTTGTTGAAATTTGTAGCAATTTACAAGTTGAAGATAAGCCGAGATTACTGTTTCTCTTCACTTGTTGAAATTTGTAGCAATTTACAAGATAATGTTAAGCCGGCATGTGATCATCCGTTGAAATTTACAGCAATTTGCAGATTGAAGTAAAAGCTAAGTATATTGTTCAAACACTTGTTGAAATTTGCAGCAATTTACAAGTAGACCATTATTTAACACTTGTTATAACTTGCGAACAGTTTACAGTATATGTTAACACTTGTTGAAATTTGTAGCAATTTACAAGTAGGTTAGACTGAGATCACTGTTTACATACTTATTGAAACTTGAGAAGAAACTTGCAGAAGTTAATATTGAATAGTATATGTTCAACACTTGTTGGAATTTATTACGAGTTTTCAGGTCTATATCTTGCCAAAGTAAAGTTTAAAGTTGTTGTACCCGAGGTATGTAACCCCGAGGAGATTGCACAAAGGTAGCAAAATATTCTAAGTACAGAATCATGCAGAAGCAAATCAAAGAGGAATTAAAAGATTGAAGCATCCATAAAAAAAAACAATTTCAGTTACATACAAAGAAAGGCACATCGGCCATAAAAGGAAGTTTACATTGTTCAGAAAACAAAACAGAGTATAAAAAGGCAAGGAAATAAAGACATTCAAATCAGGATTCTTCAGCATTAACAGCTAGGGGCGCTGGGACCTCGGAAGATTCTGGTGGAACCTCCTCGGCAATCTTTTCTGCTTCAATCTCGGCGTCAATCTCTGCAAGAGTTTCATCAAGACTTTTTTCGGCTGGAGGAACGTCGGAAGATGCCTGTTCTGGAGTTGCCTCCTTAATAACCTCCCCATCCTCTTCATGAGTCAGGTCTAGGATTTGATCATCTTGAGGAAAAGATTGGGTCTCATTGGCATCCTTAGGCTTCCTTACTAAAGCATCACCGTTATCCTTATCCTCATCTTCGGCTTCAGACTCAGACTCAGATTCTTCTTCAGCCTGAGGAGGAAATGGGAGAGGAATAGCTTCAGCCTTGCACAACGGCGAGTCATCTGGGATATTGAGTTTTTTGGCAAGGGCCATCCAACCGAGGGAGAAGCCCCTGTTGCATGCCTGCCTAACTTGAAGTTTGTATTCCTCAGTGACGTCGGCCATACCCTGGGCGTAGGCCTTCTCATCGACTTCTTTGATTTCGGCCTTTTTTGTGGCCAGAACCTCCTAAAGCTCTTTCTCAGCCTAAACCATTTTTGATTTAAACTTTTTCTTTTCAGCTTCGGCAACCTTTCTAATAGCCTCAGCAGACTCCGCTTTTTCTTCGGCCATCTGCTGGGCCTTAGTAGCGGCCTCGGCCTGATCTTCCAATTTCTTCATCTTTGATTCAAGAGATTTACTATCCTTTTTGAGGGCAGAAACCTCCCTCTTCAAGTCGACCACTCTTTGCCGATTTTCAAAAGATTGCATCGAAAACGAATGGGCGTGCTGGATGGCCTGAAATAAAATAGAAGTGTTCAAGAATCTTCTAAGTATGAAGCAAAAAGAAAAGACAAAACAAGAAACACTTACTTGAACGGAGTGCTGGAGCATTAGCGCGTAGTTTTCGTACTCGTTGTACCCAGCATTTCGCTCCAGATCGCTTGGAAGAAGAAGAGCAGTACTGAGGGCGACACCGACATTAATGTCGTCGGCACTCTCAGTTGACATAATTGGCCTATCCTCCAAAGTCAACTTTGGTGCCCAGGGGACATCGGGTTTCTTGGACCCCGAAGTTGTAGCTGAGGCAGACCTCAGCTTCTTTGATTGGGTGGACTCGGAGGGCTGGGTCTCGGCAGACCTTTTTGCAGGAGCAAAAGAAGTCTTCTTACTCTCAGCCAGTTTTGAGATAGGCAAACTATCCTCAGCATCAACAGCCTTGGCCTTAGGCTGGGCCTTCTTGATTCTTTTTGGCTTCGGTGGGGTCATTGGTTGGGATGGTACAGCATCAGCATCAGTCGGGAGGTCGGCAAGGAGATTTTGGGCAATTGGCTTTGCACGACCCATTTCGACAGTTTTGACAAGGCGTCACCGACGTTTTCTTTCTGGTATTGGGATCAAGTATGGGGCCGAAGTGGATGGTTGATTGGTTGGGTCAGATGTGGACTCTTGATCTGTTCGGGATGAAGAAGCGGTTATAGTTGTGGCAGTAGGTGGAGAGGCGCTCTTTTTCTTTTTCTTCGGGACGTCGAGCAATTCGGATTTGTATGTCGGAATAAAGTTTAGTAACAGTGGAGCTTTGCGCTTGTGGATTGGAAGATCAAGAAGCTTCTTTAAATCTTTTCCTAGGAAGTACGATTGGTGAAAGTTTTTTGGTGGCTGATGAAGATCTGCAGGACAAACAAACAGACATTAGAAACAGACAAAATTTTGAAGACTTGGAAAAGAAATAACTAAGTATTGATACTGGGCTCTTACCCTTGCCCTCTTTAACTGTTCGAGGAAGAGGGTAGAGGTGAACATCTTCGTCTGGACCAAATTCTCAATTTCCCGAGGCAATGACAAAGTCATCCCCGGCTCCCTTGTTGGAGTCCGGGAGGTCGGCTACAATTTTGAATTCAGTAGACCTCGGCTTGAGGTAGTAGACGTAACCTCTTTCCTTCAGGTTAAGGGGGCACATGGTATAACAATATTGTACATCGGCAAGGGTGATCCTAACATTTTCCTGCCTAGTTAGGGCTATGATACCATTAATCACTCGATAGGAGTTGATGGTAAGTTGCATGGGGTTCAACTTATAGAAGTGGAGAACCTCACGAAAAAGGGGATTGAGTGGAAGCCGGAGTCCGCACTCAGTAAAAGCTACTATAGGAAAGGGCATTGAATTATCCGTGGGCATGATAGAGTCATTGTCTTCAGCCAGCCTCAGTTGGACATCGGCAGGAATAGAGAATTCTTGCCTAAAAAATTCAAGTTTACTTGGGGTGTTTACCCGGTGTCTCCACATACCCATTACGTCGGCTTAAACAAAGAAGGCTGTGTTTCAGAAGATAGGTGTTTCAGAAGGATTGCTAGAACCTCGGTTTCAAACCTGGGTAAGGATTGGTAAGGTTTGTTTCAGTTTTTCCTAAAGATTGAAGGTTCTACAGACAAATCCCAAACCTAAAACTATAAAGACGAAGATCGAGGGCACAGATCTGGTAAAGATACAAAAAACAGAGAACAAAAGCGAAGTTTCAGAAACAAGAACAGGGATGGGCTATCAAGAATACGAAGAATACAAAAAGGTTAAGGGCCAAGAACAGTGGTGAAAAAGTGCAAAGTGTTCATAGCATGTGAAAAATCATGAAATAAGACGCATTCAGGTGAATGATTCACAAATAATGCTTAAGGAGAACAGTAATAGCGAGAAACTCCAGAACTGATCAAGAACTGAAAAAAAAAAGGGGTTAAGCGGGGCAGTTGCTTACCAGATAAAGTGAAGCCGGAGCAATATTCGCCGAGATCAGACGACAGTTGAAACAATGGCGAAAGCTTCGCAGGAATGGAAGAATAAAGATGGTCGTAGAATTTGGGGCTTAGAGCAATGGCAGATTCGAAGAAATGCTAAAGCTTTTAGAGAGAGAAAAAGCAAGAAATCAGAATACAGAAAGTGGAGAAAGGAAGAGGGAAAGAAAAGTTTTGTAAAAAACTTAAAATGGCGGCAAAACAGGGCATTTATTGCGCCTGGAGCACCGGATACGTCAGACGGCGCAGACAAATAAAAGACAGCTTTCAGGCGCGTCACAGACACGGGCCAATGAAGACAAAGCACGTGAAAGAAACGGTTAGATGTGCATGACAGCTCATGCGCGTGGTGGAGTTCATTTGAATTCTTGTTCTCTGAAGAGAACACATCGGCTTGAAAATGAATTATCTCGGCCAAACAGTTTTTGAGCCACTATGCAGAAAGAAATATCGATATAGGTTCCATCACCTCAGAATGCCGAGGTAATAGAACCTAGGGGGCGGTTGTGGGGATATATTTTTTGTATACCGACACGTGGCATGGCGACGCCGACGTGTCAGCCGAAGTACCACGTGTCGTGGTAGTTACGCCGAGGTGATCTCGGAGTTGCCGAGGTTATCTCCGAAGATATCGGAATCCGAGATAAGAAGATAAGGGACAGGAGTCCTAGGACAACGAGGAGACTTAGCCAAGATAAGGATAAAGCTCTTAGGGAGTTTATCTTTATCTCTTGAAGAATCCAAAGTCGGTATTGAATTGGAGTCCATAGAAGTCAGGCTTCTAGTGGGACTAAGATTGAGTAAACTATAAAAGAGAGGCACCCCCATGGGTCTAAGGTACGCAGTTTTATACTCAAGCTTGTGAGTTTAGCACTTGATTATCTTTGAGAGATATACTGACTTGATCGTCGGAGTGCCCCCGGATGGAAGAGCCACCGCCGGAGCCCTTTCTTTCTGTTACAGGTTACTGGAGCCATCTATTCTGCCGGTGCTCTCCAGCTGATTATTAGGCAGGCAGTGTGATAAGAAAATTACCCACACAATAATCTATGGAAAAACCAACAGATCCAATGGATGTTATTATTTGTCATATGATGTCAACTCTGAACTTGAAATTAACATAAGAAAATTTTCAAACGACAAATATGCGAGTTAACTTCACCTGTAATTTCTCAATGTTGGTCACGGTATTGGTTCCTTATGCAGAGACTGCCTTTTGTAAATATTTTTCGTACTGAAGGAAAGGTTTCCCGATTATCTAATGCTAAAATGGGGGACAGGAACTTGTCCTTTTCTTCTGAATATCCTTTGGGACACAACCATAACCTCTTGGAGTCAATACGAGAAGACATGGCTAAGCAGTAATAAATCCACTTATTTGAATAAAATAAAATAAAAAAACAACCCCCAATTAGTATCCATTAATGTGTGTTTGGGAGGGGTCAGATTGGGTACATACCTAACGTTTGGCATGAATGCACAAAGCGGCTGTCCTCATTCTTGAACCAAGGTTTTAACCATTGAACCAATGGTTATCCCTACTTATTGAAACTAAGAAGAGAAAAATTCAAGAAATGCATACCACTTGCAATTTCCAATAGTAAACACATCAAAGTGATGAAATACACCATCTAAAGCTGAAAACCTATCAATCTTCCAAGTGTAAGTACTGTCAAGTTCCTTAAGGAGGGATAGACACTCCTCTCTGCATGTATAATTCATGACAAAAATCTCAGCTCCGAACATGCAAGTGTCATGGATCAGGTATCCATTACTAGGATCATTGAAAATATTAAGTGGAAGTAATTGGGTGAACCCCCATTCAGTCTTCAACCCATGAAAGCGTCTCATCTTTTCGTTGGAATCGAAAAAAATCAGGTGTGCAGAGCAATGCCCAAATATTGAATATAATGAAAGAAGCCTCAAACAAGCATCAATCAAATTAACTACCTTGGATGGTCATGTACTTGTCTTGAATCTCATGATACACAAACAATTTGAAGCTCACATTGACCTCCCAACCAGGAGGTAAATTATTTGTCTCTGCAATTACCAAGTACAGAGAGATGTATTCTTCCCCGTTTCTTTCTTCATCACCATTTGGGTAGGGAGACAGTTTCCTTAAACACAAAAGACCTAAGAATCAGCTTATGGGTATGTTAATATCAACAGGATGAAGATGGAAATTTCAGAAACAAAGGATATAGAAACTCAACCATTTGTAGCCACTGGCTTCAAAAATGTCTGATTCTTAATTATGCACTTTGGTATCAAACAGTATTTGTGAGAGTTGTGAGAACGAATAAATCTTCAAAATGTAGTGAGCTGGTGGTCTATCTCGTAGTGATCTCGTTACTTCTAAAGAACAATGAAGCGATTAAATGTGAAATCACAAACAAAGATGCATAGATCGATGTTGTCAATTAAAAAATAAAAAGATCACACAGAGTGTAGTTTTGGTATTTGGAACATTCAACAAATATTTACTTGAATATTGCACTAAAATTGTTGATTAGCTTTCACAATTTTTCTACTAATCTCTATGATCATGGACAACTGAATAGAAGTAAAATGCAACCTTTTGCCTTAAAAAAATCATAAATGATTCTTGGACCGTTTTTCTAATTAAGGACACTCGCATAAACATGTATACTAACGATGTAGAAGTAAATACATTTATTTAAGATCAACTTGTTAAAAACTAGTTAGATAGACTTGTTACGTAAATAAATCAAGTTTTAAAATAATTTAAAATTACTTAATTTTTCAGTCCAAATGTAAACAACTTACTACTCAACTAAACTCAATTGTGCTCGTTTGGCATGAAGAAGCTTGAGGCTTTTTGATTAAAATAGTCACAAAATAGACTAAAAAATCAATAAGACAAAATGTCATATCTAAATCATAATTACTTTATTTTCTCTTACAAAAGCTAAAAAGTCAGCTCACATCCCAAATAAAGCCTATATATATATATATATATAAACTACTCAAGTTTAACTCAATTTAAAGTTCAACAGTTAAACAAGTAAAATTAAAATTAAAAAAAAAAAAGTGTTATTAAATTTCAAATCAAACTTAAAAAACTACCTACTTAACCCGACTCAAAGCACAGAGTCACAAAGTCGACGCAAAACCGCCCTCCTCCGTCTCCCTCTGTATGCATGTGCATATATATACACACGCTATCTATACAATTTATTTATACTACTATATAAAGTAAACAACTTTATTGGTGTGAATTGCCACACTTTTCCCTTTCCCAAATTGTCCCTATACAACTACCTCTATATAACCATAGTTACCAGAATCTCAATCTGGATTGTCTAGTTTCGAACCGTACTAGATTAAATTCAATAGGATTTTAAAGTGACTACAATTTTAGTCATAAAATCATATAGAATCGTACTATTCTGATCCTACCAAAAAAAGAAAAATTTATTATTTAATTCTTATATATGTATGTATATGTGTATATCTATATAAAATTTTTACTATAAATTCTTTCTCGAAACATTTCTTCTAATTTATATTAACATAAAAGATGCTTTATAAATTTGTTGCTTGTTTTAATGATTTTAAAATTATTTAACATACATTATCATTGTTGATAATTTTTCATTTTATTTTACATTAAAAGTAAAATCTTATGATTTTACGGTCCGATCCGCAAGCCCTTACTAATAATCCTACCTAGCATCCTGATTCTATCAACCTTATATATAACTACTTTATATTTTGATTTTGACATTTAAATTTTGATAACTTTTCACCTTTTGAAAAAAAAAATTGATAACTTTTCAAATTATTTTCTTCTCCTTCTACATTCAACTGTTGATTTTCATAACACACCCATCAAGCGCGCACACCGTGTAATATATATATATATATATATTGTAATCAACATGAGTGGTGCTCTTGTTTCTCTCTCATTATTCATAGAATCCTGACCATAAACACCTAACATACGGACACTCTTATATGTACAATAAAGGTTAATTTTACCTTTTATCCAAACCAAACCAAGCCTTAAGTCCCATCAAATGGGGTCGGCTATATGAATCCTTCTTCTCCACGTGGCCCTATCAAAGGCCATTTCATTAGTCAAATTAAGTAGATCCATATCTTTATTTACAACGCTAGCCAACGTTAATCTAGGCCTACCCCGTCTCCTAACCCTTCCATCTACCGTCACAGCATCGCATCTCTTCACTATTGCCTCTGTTGGTCTCTGTTGAATATGACCAAACCATCTCAATTGATTCTCTCTCAACTTATCTTCTATCGGTGCTACTCCTACCCATTCTCGAACACATTCATTCCTAATTCTGTCTTGTTTAGTCTTACCATACATCCACCTTAGCATCCTCATCTCAGCCACACTCATCTTATCTACATGTTGTTTTTTGGTTGCCCAACACTCCGTCCCATACAACATCGCTGGTCTAATAGCCATTCTATAGAACTTACCTTTTAGTCTAGTGGGTATTCGTTTATCACGCAGTACCCCAGACGCACTCCTCCACTTACACCATCTCGCCATAATTCTACAGGCCACATCCACATCAATCTCTCCCGCTATTGTGATAATCGACCCTAAATAACGAAAATGTTCACTCTTAGGCAGTTATTGGTTCTCAATCCTCACTTCTTCTCTGCTTTCATTGTTTCTATTACTATATTTACATTCCATGTACTCTGTCTTAGTTATGCTTATTCAAAAACCTTTAGATTCAAGAGCTTTTCTCCAAATCTCCAACTTTGTGTTAACTCCTTTTCTAGTCTTATCCACTAGCACGATATCGTCTGCAAAAAGCATACACCATGGCACGTCATCCTGAATATTTCTCGTCAACTCATCCATAACTAAGAGCAAAAAGATAAGGACTTAAGGTAGATCCTTGGTGTAACCCTACAGTGATAGGGAATTCATTTGTCTCTCTAGCAGACGATCTAATAGTGGTCACCACCTCTTCATACATGTCTCTAATCACATCAATGTAACATTTTGTCACCCATTTCTTCTCTAACACCCACCATATTATATCCCGGGGCACTCTATCATATGCTTTCTCAAGGTCGATAAACACTATATGAATGTCTCTTTTCTTTTCTCTATACTTTTCTATTACTTTCCTCAAAAGATAGATCGCTTCTATTGTTGACCAGCTAGGCATACACCCAAATTGATTCTCTGACACTTCTGTTATATCTCGCAATTGGCGTTCCATCACCCTCTCCCACACTTTCATTATATGATACATTAGCTTGATTCCTCTATAGTTGTTGCAATTCTGGACATCTCCTTTATTCTTATAAATTGGCACTAAAATACTCTTCCTCCACTCATCTATCATATTCCTAGTCAATAAAATTTTGCTAAACAACCTATAGACGTCCCCGAACGTCCCAGGAGGGAAATCCCATTTTGTTCATTTGGGCTCACTACAGTTCGGACTCAATGTCACGGTCCTGTGTCTAATTTCGCAGAGTGCAATGCAAGACCGATAAATCATCAAAGAGTCCAAATCCGACAAATTGTTTTTGAAAAACAAATTTTTTAGAAAGAAGTGCCAAACATGGACTGCTTTGCCAGATACAAAGTCGCCACCTAAATATTTATTTTGGGAGAATTTAGGAAACCCTAACTTATTGCCTAAGGCCACATGTCCTTCATCACCAAAGTTGCCTCGGCTCGGGAACTTGGGTACGATTGGGGAAGGTCAGCTATGAGCACCCCTACTCGCCTGATCAAAGATCGGCCTCTACTAACCATGATATCGAGTTTTAAAAATATTATATGCTCTTATTCCTTTTATTAGCCTAGATTTACTACGTGATGCACACAGCATACAAGTATAGACTAGATCGCCTAATTTGGAACAAAGCATCGCATATCCGTTGTTTGGAAATGATTTGAGGTTTGCTACTCGCAAGTAGGCTAAAATACAGATTTCAATGAATTATTCCAATTCAAACAATCTAACCTTCACCCACAGGCATTCAGGTAGTAAATCAACTAAGCATTTAGCCTCATGGCAAGCATGCTGTCATGTTAACACTCACATACATGCAAGATGCCAAAGCATAAAAACACTTACAGTGTACTCCAAGCCAAAACAAGAAACTAGTTAGCAATTATGCATGATCCTAGTTCATGTTAAAATGGCTAATGTATCACATACAGAATGTCTCTAGAATAGGCTCGGCTAATCTATGGATGGCATGTGAAATGCACAGATAACATGTATTCAAGTTAGATTTGAAATACCATGCAATTAGTATGATGCGCCGAGCCCGGTGCATGCAATACAAATGAATGAATGCACACATGCATAGCATAAGGATGCTAATTGAAATATGCCCTAATACTAACCATCAAAAATAGGTAAGTAAAAGGGAGAAAGAAGTGGGGATTGGAAGACATGCATCACATGCACGCATGCTTATTACACAATTCGCCCTCTCTCGGAGGAACCAAAAGAATAATACAAATTTAACTAACTATCAAGCTAATTAAATAATTACAGACCACCTAACTAGTTAAACAAGTTAACTAAGCTAATGAAGTGGTAAAACAGCCTCGGGAAGAGGGTCCAATGCATGCGTGCTCGGTTCCACTCGAAAATCCACCACCATGCACAAGTTGCCTCTGTTTACACTGCTCTGTGCCTATGAAAATTGCACAAGTCCCAAGGATGCTTCAGCATCACTCCTTGATCATTGTGGGATGCCACCGGCCATAAGAAATGGTCACCGACTATGGTAAAGTGGTCATCGACCAGTTGTATAGCTCTCGGCCAAAGATATTTAGTCGGCCGACACTTATAATGGTCAGTCGGCCATATCTTCCTGCAGAACCCTGTTTTGACAGCAACAGAGGGCAAACAAGGCATGGCAATGCATTTTAAAGCAAATGTCTGCACCACCACACTTCTTATCATGTTTGTGACTCAAAGGAGTTTGGTACTCGACCCTCGGGCCATCAATCGCGCATTTCAATGCGTGATGGCCAAAGAGGCCAAGTATGCCATTTCAATGTCAAATGAAATGCACATAAACAAATAATGGACCTAACCTCTATCATGGTGATTCAAGAGGCAAGGTATGCATGCAAAAT